ACGTGCACCTGTCTCCTGTTTAATCTGTCACTATATAAGTTATGTGCCTCCCAAGCTCTGGTCTCAGTATTTGAAGATGGATGCCCAGAAGCCTACCTACCAGCAGGTCCAGGAGAGACCCGACGGCACAGGCTTCATCACGGCGTCCTGACCATCTGGGTCCAGGGCGCGGAGCGCCTGGCCTCCTCATCGTGTTTTTAACTTCCCTGTTCCAGTTCCTGTTCTGACCCGGTTCCTGTTTTTAACTGTTTGTCTTCTATTTGATCTCCCAGCTACCTGGACTTTGGACTGGGTCCTGTTTTTTCCCTTTTGGACTCCCACTGGACTTGTTTGCCTGCACTCCCCCTTGCACCTGGATCACCATTGGCACCGCCCCCTGTCTGTCCTCCCCTCCATTCCTCTGCATGTTTTCCCTATTGTCCTTCTCCAGTCTCTTCCGGATTATATCGTCTGTATAGGGTCCTAAATAGGCACTACACGGGAGTCAGGACTGGCTCCCATTACAACTGTATTAACGTTCTTGGCAAAAAGCGAATAGCCATAGTGTACAAATGGGTTTTATGTTACAGTTAAGTTTTACAAGTGAGCAGAACCAGTTATGGTTAGCATTACTGCCTCACAGCACTGGGACCCTGAGTTCCATTCTGGACGTAGGGTGCTGTTTGCGTAGAGCTTGTATATTCTCATGTTTTGGTTATCTGGAATTTTGTCAGGTGCTCCTCTTTCCTCCCACAGTCATATTGGTAGAAATACATACTGGTAGGTTAATAAGCTTCTGAAAGAAATGACCATGAATTGAATGTGTGTATGCCTCTATCTGTGTTTGCCCTGTGATGAACTTGTGTCCCATCCAGCATCCCATCCCAACTTAAGCCTATTGCTTGCCAGGATCCTGAAATAAATGATGCAGTAAGAAAATGGATGGTGGATTGGAAATAAATTATATCTAATCTCTTAAGTACATTTAGCTCCAGTGACTTACTCACTGAACTTCCGAAAAGGTTGAGAGGATATTTCCAATAGTATTCCATTTCAAACTGTGGCACCATTTACTGTAAAAGCACTGTGAACTGCTGAAAATGAGCATTAGAATGCCCTGCACAATCAGAAAATTGGACTATGCCATGCTCTTTTGTGGAATTGTGGGACCCTTGTAACCCAACAATCGAATGAAAAGAGGAAGTCACAGCAACTGTTTAACTTTGCTATTATGGAGTATATTTCTTGACTAACATTTCAGAAGTGAGAAAAAAAACCTTCAGTTTTAATAAAATACAGTATTTAGAAGCTACAATTAAAACAATGACAAAAAGTAAATGCCACAGAGGGGAAGAACAAGAGGCAGAACAAGGCAGATCACAAAATAAATGATACATTTGTCCATACTGGCTGTTTTTAAATCTAGCCAGAACACAGACTTTTTTAGAAAGCCTTTGCTTAATGTGGAGTAATTTGTGCTAGGTGTTTTAGCATGATTTTTTTATTTATTGTGATTAGTATGTGCAATCTTCTTATTATGGAAGCAGCACTTTTGTAGACAAACATACAGTTGCAACTGCCTAAGACAAGATTAGTCCACTGAAGACTGCCACAGATCTTTCAAAAGATCAGCTGGAAAATTTCCAGTTCCACTCCAGTTTGTTAAGTAAAACAGCTGTGTGATCATAAAACAGAGTTATCAATGAAATTATTAAAATGCTTATTGTGCCAAAGTCATGCAAATCTTTAACTGAAAAAGGACAGTGTCAGGGAGTCTATTGGTAGAGTAGGAGAATCCTTATACATAACCATGAATCCCACAGAACACAGAGTAGCACAGGGACAATCCAAAAGGCAAAATCCAGGGGCTAAGTCAAATAGGGAGGTAATGAGTCCAGTAACAAGAGAAATCCAAAAGGCATAGTCAAAAGGCAGGAACAAAGATTTGGTACCAGATCAGTCAAAAGGTTGAGGAAACACACAAGAGAATACTAGTAGAAACTTCTCAATAGGGAGCATGGGTAGGTCTGTGAGTGATGTTTAAATACAGAAAGGAAAGGGATGTGGGTGGATAATTGGTTCGGGAGTGAAAATGTGTGGAATCTAGTGCATGTGGGAATGTGATGGGTTCAATTAGGAATGAGGTTGTGAAACAGTGGTTTTGGGAATGCAACGCCATTTGCGAGGAAGAGTGTGGGGCGTGACAGACTAAATGAGATGTACCTTCTCAAATTCTCTTTTGAGAAGATACATGGAGATATGCATGTACTGTAGATCATATTTGTATTTTTCCTGTTTTGAGATGTTTAAATCATGTCACAGAAACAAGCTCTGAGTAATACAGTAAATGGTGTTACAGAAGGGATAGCCTTGACAGTGCTTCAGAGTAAGAAAACCATTTGACATACAAATTAGGAAAAGTACTTCAGTCTTTCAGGCTTGGCTGTCAGTTAAATAAATACAAGTTTTTTTTCTTTTTGCTAACAGATAGAATTTCAGAGGACTGTTATTTCAGGGTTTGTACATTTTCACATTCAAAATACCTTATTTGTCTTTGCTGTAACAAGGTGATGTTAATTCAGTTTTACAACAGTATATGAGAATTACTTTTGCAGCTGCAAAAACACACAGTTGCAGAATGAAGTTAAACAACAGGGAGTTTTGGATTTAATGAGCATTGTGATTAAAATGGCTGTGATACAGGTTTGTTGAATACATTTTACTACAGAGCAAAAATAAAATCAGAACAGTCAATATACAGTATACTTTACAGCAAAAAGTATAGTATTAAAGTAGATAAGTCTCAAACTTCTTAGATGCCTCTGTAATTAAAACCCTTTCCCCCTATATTCTTTTGGGAGCAACTGATTTCAGGTTGGAGTCTCAAGTATATTTGTCATTTTTGTTCTACTGTAATTTGTGTTTAAATGGAGAGAAAAAAAGTTGGACAAACATATTTGAAAATGGAGTTGATGTAAACTGAAATGAATTCCCCAGCTGTAGACCAGCAAGCTAGTAATTCTGATACTTGAGCTTATCTTGATATTCCGCTACTAAATTGCATGTCTCCTGCGTTTCCTCTTTCATTAGTTTCTAGTTTCATGATACTCCACCACCATGTAATTGAATTGTTTCCTAAATATGTGAAGTCTAATTGTTACCAGGAAACTAACCACAACTAGATGGTACAATACAAGAGCATGCATAATAATACTGAAGCTGTGAGTCTAGACATATCCGTTAACCCTTAGTTACAATAAAGAAAATAAAAGAAAACAACAGCATTACAATGCCCAGTTTTTGAAGAGTTAAGATTAATTTTGCGTGGTACTGTACATCTCTGAGGGTGTTGGGGTGAGATGATTGTAATATTCTATTTTTCATTAATTCTCCCCCCCCCCGCATCCAGGGCTTTGTGTTTAACATGCTTCTTGGTGAATTAAGATCACTGATTAGAATATTTTTACATGATTTAGGATGGTTTCTAGCTAAAGCTTTCCAAAATTCATACACTGGAACAAGATATAATAGAATTGATGAAGAGCTCCAGTCCTTGAAAGGGGTCTTCATTGTGCCTGATCTCTTTATTATCTGGGACATTAGAAAGTTTAAAAACCAGAGTGACCTTTCAGCCTATCTTATTAGATAGCTTGTTAGCTTGTTAGATAATGGCTAATTTATCAGGGGAACCTATCTAGTTTGTTTTGTTTTTTTGTGATGAAAGCCAACATATTCATTCCAACAACATAGCTGTGTAGCCTGTTGCAGTCTAACTTTACCCTATGTGAAAAGAAATGCCTCAGGTTTTTGGCAGAGTAGCAAAAATATATATATATACAATAGTGTTGAAGAGGTCTTACTAATGCATTGTACTAGTAATTATCTTAATTGGAACAATTTTTACTTTTCAAAAGCCCTCCACTTTAAGAGACATTTGTGACCCAGATTTTAAATGATACAGAAGTTTGTCTGCATGACAAAAGTAATCCTTGACCGATGTATAATAGAAATCCATGCAATTAACACAAATGAATACATAATTGGGATAAAATAGTGACTTACAATATACAGTATAAAAAGTAAGTGGTATAAATGGCTTACACTAGTGTTTTGTTAAGTTGTTCACACAAGGTGTTTTAGTTCCATGTTGGAGATGGTAACAACAGATCCAGAGGTGTCATTTATTCATTAAATTTATTTAATTATATGAAAAGCTATAATTGGGTAATCTTCAAATAGACATGTGGTTTGAAAATGTAGCCTTCGTTTCATTCAATTCGTTTTCAAATTGATTTGTTCCAGGGAGAGAAAAGTTTTAAATTGTTTCTACCACCAGAGGGCGACCCACACCTAGTGATTTATATACAGCACTTGTACCAACCAGCGTGATTATTTTTTTTTTTTGTGTGTGTGTGGCCGTAACAATGATGTAAAAGCACACTTGCTGTTGGATAGCTAACCTTTTAAAAACTGGCCTTAAATTCTAAAGCAGGGAGGCCAGTCCCTGTGTTGCTTTATGTCTGTGTTTGATAAAGTAAAGGAGCAATTTTAATCAGTTTGGAGGAATTGACAAGTTCAAGAGCCTTTATTTAATATCTTAATTAATTGCAGCAGGCAATACATTGTAATCTTACTTTTAAAGAACTCACTACCAGTATAATAGAACCTCTGCAAAATCCAGTCTGTAATATGCAGGACAAGTCATATACATTACGTAATGCTCTCAAGTTTAGCCAGAGTTGTGACATCACTGAACAACTTTGTTTTAATTTGTTTTCTGAGGTAAAGTTCCCAGCAAAGTAAAAGCACAAAAAGAAATATTCCCCCAAAGGTGTGAGAATTACTCTGTCGGCCAAGATGTTGAATGGATTGAAAACTGAGGAGCCCTCCCCTTTTTTGCAAAGAGTTAAGTGGCAAGAAGGTGAAGGCTGCTGGGGTCCTGGGGAGGGTGTTGCAGTGTGTTGGGTTGACATTCTGCCCTCCTCCTCCCACAGCATAAAGTGCTACTATATAAACTCCCACTTGCAGACTTTGTCCCATTTCTGTTCGCTTTTTTGGTCCAGCCAGCAGGGTGATTAAGGATGAAGCTCCTCACTGTGGCTGCCGTCACCATTTTTGTCCTGTCTGCCTTTGACCAGGCAGACTCCTCTGCTTATGACAAGATTGTAACCCACAGTCGAATTAGAGCAAAGAATGAGGGGTAAGCAACAATGCAAATGGAATATGCTTCCAAAGGGAACATACAGACCTGCTTTTTAATTGATTCTACCTTGCTTGAACTTGGAAAGGAGTTTTCTGTATCAATGATAGAAAAAATAAGTTTACAAAGCCAATGCATTGCATCTTCTTTGATAAAATAGCAGAAATGCAGTCACTTAAAAGTGAAAAAGTCAACTTCTTTTTTGTATTTAAAATTATTTACATTCTTGGTCAGATTAAAGGTTATTTTTTTAACAGTTAAATTACATTGACATTTAAAAGTAAAACAACCTTTAATTAACAAGGTTGATATTTTAAACATTAGTTTTTTTTTTGCTTCTTTTTTACAATTATTAAATCTCAAGTACAATGTATTTGTGATTTACATACACTATAATAGGTTTACCCTCATTTTGACAACCCTCAGCGTACTGATAGAAATGCTGCATTTGCCTCCTGGTTTCATTAACTATCATCTGTAAACTTTTAACTGTGCAGTTCTAATGTGGTGAACACGTACTGTATTAATACGTATGATAATAACTCTTTTAATTATTATCCACCATGCATCCATAAACCAAAGTAGCTGCAGATGTCTGGCTACACATCTTTTAAGAGAAATAAATCTGAACAGAATTGTTTAATCAGGTGTGATTCTTGGTTAAGCTATGCTAATAGGAAGCCATGCTTGCATCAATTATTAATCAAACTGGAATTAACATTTAATTTAATGGTTTAATGCTTATAATCTTAATGCAAGTAAAATGTTTTAATGTGGTCTTACTGCTCTTTCAAGCTGGAATGCAATGTACTGGATAGCATATTTTTGGTGTTGTATTTTCAACGTAACTCTATTCCACCTTCTTTACAGACCCAATGTGTGTGCTCTTCAGCAAGTAATGGGAACCAAAAAGAAATATTTCAGCACTTGCAGGAACTGGTACCAGGGAGCAATCTGTGGCAAAAAAGCGTAAGTGTGTAGGTTTTTTTGTGTGGCAACATGCTTGCTGGAAGGGTCAGAGCCTAGGGCTATTTTTTTCTTAAAAGATGGCTGAAAGAACTTGTGTTACTGTATATTCTGTTTAAGAGAACAAAGGCTTCTACGTTCCTTGTTCCAGACAGGATATACTCTGCAGCTGCCTTGTTTCAACAGACAGACTTACCTTCAGCTTCAAGCATGTGCTAAGGGGAAACCTTGTCTGTGTGAACAGGAGTGTGTTTCACGCATTGGTAGAGCTCTGCCTAAGGAATTCTTAGATGGTGTCCAGTTTCATTCTGCTTTCTTGGTTTTCCACAGATTTCTCCTGAGAGCTTTTAATGATCTAAATACCTTGTGGCCTTCAATTTTGCCCATCCAGCAGAATCATTTTTTTTTTCACTTTCCAAATTGTTTAAAATTATTCATATTTCAGCAGTAATTCCCAGTTACTTAAATAACTTAAAAAAAATAATAAAACCGCATTTTTTTTCGAAATCATCCGTTATCTTTGTAGATTTGGGAAATTGTAAAGTTTTAAAAGCTAGGTTTAAGAGTGATTTATAGTGGACTATGACAGTAATCACTTGTCTGGTGTTCAGTCACTTTCGTTGTTTGTTATTTTCATGCCTGTCTAAACATTTGCTCATATTGCATGGTGTTCAAAACTTTAGCCGTTGTATTTTATCCTGATGTTAGACAGCATGTATTTATACAGTATATCTCGCTTCAGAGATTCACGAAGAATCTAATTTTGCTTCATTAGTATAGAAACCACTTTTGATTTTATGTTTTATTTTGTTTTATAAATGTTCAGTAGTGGGGCAGTGGTTAGCATTGCTGCCTCACAGCTCTGGGGCCCTGGTTTCCATTCTGGACCTGGGGTGCTATTTTCAGTGAGTTTGTATGTTCTTCTCTAGTTTGTGTGGGTTTTCGCCACATGCTCTGGTTTTCTCCCACAGTCCAAAAACATACTGTTAGGTTAATGGGCTCCAGGGAATATTGACCCTGGTTAGAGTGTGCACATGTCTGTGTCGGTGTGTGCCCTGCTATGGACTGGCTTCCCGCCTGGGGTGTATCCCATCTTTCGCCTGTTGCTTGCCTGGATAGGCACTTACTCCCCTGCGATGCTGAATTGGACAAAGCAGTTAGAAAATGGCTGGATGTTCTGTAATGTTTAAATATGGTATATAGTAAAAACATACATTGATCTGAAATGAAAATACACCTGGACGTTTCAGTAATAATTTTCTGCCCTGTTCATGTATGGCGTTAGATGGAAAGAATGCATGGCTTGAGACGAAAGCTACATTTCAACATAAAGACCTACTGTTGCTCATATCTTCAAAAGCTGGTTTGTGCAGGTGTATATGCTATACTTTCTTTGGAAAGAATGTGCAGAACAGGCAAAAAGGAACACACCTTTTTTATCCATGTCAGGCTGGTTCCATTCATTAGAAATTAAGCTGACAGCTCATTGAAAATGTAGCAAATAATGTAAATACAGTATATGTTTAAGTTGGTTCAGACGGGCTCAAAATTTACACTGGATGGGACAAAGTAAAAGTTGTGAAATAGAGCCCCCAGGCACAAAAGGTCCTTTCTGTTTTGTTTTTTGGTTCTGCACCTGGATCCGAACAGTTCTGTTTTACAACACTGCAAGTGTTAAATAGGAGGATATTAACATCAGCCAGAAACTGAAAACCCTTGAGAAAAAATATACATATAGAGTATAAGGAAATAATTATCTAAAGGGGAAAAAAATCTGGATCGAATTGCATACAATTTAAAAGGTGGTCATGGCAAACTGGTTATAATATTTCTGTGGTTGTAAAATTTGGGATTTCAAGCACATTTTACATTTTACACGGTCTGTGAAGCTTTGTGATTTACAACAAAAGGGGTTTCCATGCGATGTTAAATGTGGGGATCCTCTACTGGACAGGCTAGTCAGCTTGAGAACAAAGATGAACATGTGTTTTTTATTGTCTGTGGTTTCATTTTGGCCCACCGTTCAAAAGTGGCATGCAGCCAGACTTCATTTTCCCATTAGCACTACAGCTTGGGTTCCAAGGTGAATTCATCCTTGTATTTTGCTGTCTGGGCCTTTTGGTTAAACAGCAGCCCTTAACCACACAGTGAAAAAATAAAGTCTGAAGAAAACCTTGTTTTGCTGAATAGGGTTATTTTTGGAAAATACTGGAAAGGTTACATTTTTCTAAAGGAAAGATGTGCTGCTTCACTTAAATTATTAAACATAAAGGACAATATTTAAAATTGTATAATAATCTAAAAGGGTACTTCACAGATACTGTATGCACAAGTACTGTATAGTGTCTTCACAATACAATACTTTGTATCTAACTACAGGATGTGTAAACAAAGAACTGAAAGATTTTAAATATAATAAAAATAACAGAAAATATAAAATATACTTAGTAAATGGTGCCATCTGAAGAGGATTTGTTTATCTGTGTATTATACCGTACATTATCATCTGGACCTTTGGTCTTCATTTTGGATTGCAGTACTATAGGCGATGGATATAGTTGGTTTTGGTCCAGTAAAATATTTCCATGTTCTGAGCAATTTTACACAGCCACAAAGTAGTTAAGAAAACAATTTCGGCAAACATAATTCTACAAACTTAGGAAGTTATAAGGGGAAGGAGGAGTAAAATGACTGTGGCAGGAAATAAAGGCAGTTCAGTAGACAGTGTCCCAGGGCAAAAAAGTGTGGAAAAGCTGTAATATAATGTTTCCTATAGTTCCACAGTCTTTGTAAACCTTTCCTAGGCAAAATCTGTGCCAGGATGCCTTAATCTTTTTCTGGGACAGAAAGTTTGGAAGGGTCTGCCACGGTCTTGATGCTGAATCCATCTGGACATCCATGTTCTGGTCCTGCCTGTAATAACACACAGTTCGATATGGACCTTAAAAAAAAACAGGAAAGGTCGGCAAAAAGCCAAGTCTGCTTAGCCTCATCTCAGAGGGCAAGCCCTGCGCTTTTCCATTCAGTTTTTGACGCCATTTCAGTGTGAAAGCTAAGCTGGAAACGACAGTTTTGGATGCCTTCCAGCCGATCCTTCTGGGAGACTTGTCTACCTCTTTTCTCTTGAATAGCCCCCTCTCCCAACTTCCATGTTCACATTTTGGCAGCAGGCCACTCCAGTTGCAATTTACCACTGGGGAACATATGGAATTGGTTGCTCTTATGGAAGTTTGGCCAGGGAAATGTTCCCAGCGGTCTCCCCCTGAGGAAGCACGCTGCTCTTTTAACTTAATATGACAACCCATGGGTTTTAGCTACAGTGGAAATTTTGATCTTAGTCTTCTTGGAGGCGTAGACGATGGCTTCTCATGAGCCAGAATCAACAATTGCTGCTGAAGTAGAGGGAAGCCATTTCTGTTCTCGGCTATGCTTTCGTTTCCTCAGTGCCTCTGAGGTGAGGAGAACGTGTGAGTGACACTTTCATTACATGTGAGTGCAAAAAAAAAACTTGCAAAAAATACTGCCAAGACAAGACAAGCATAAAATAAGCGGTTTAGTATCACATCATGTCGTCCATGCAAAAATAAACTTAACTGTGCCACACATTCAGGTAGGTAGCTGCAAGTCTCCGCTGCAGCTGAAGTTCAGCTGTCATATATGTTTGTTTAAAAATTAGTGTGGAACTCATTTCCACTGCCATGTCTTTTTATTTTACGACAGTACTGTATGTGTTACGCAAGGCAGTCTTAATGAGATAATAATACATTAAAAGTCCCTTGCTTCACAAGCTAGCCTGTTAAAGCCATGCATCACAATAAAACACAGTTTATAAGCCTTTTCTGGCTATTGTGCTTTAGCATTAAAATATTATTTATTATGCACAAGTTAAAGAGAAAATACATTACAATTTTGTAACTGTTTGATAACAGAAGTGAGATGCATATATTGTACAAGCTACAGTACATCTACATCTTGTAGATGCAGTTAATCTACTGTATGAAATAGAAGTTCATGTGGAATTTTAGAAGTCTGTTGGAAGTCATTTTACAAGATACGTTTCCAGCATTTATTTCAAAAGTTTAATTACCAATGTTTTGTCACTTAAACATTGAGCTTTCCTTTGCCTTTGTGTACTCTATAGCCTTCTAAAATTGTATGTGAGACAATAGTTTTAGACTAGAATATCACAACTCCAATACGCAAGAGAATTCCAGGGTAGGAAGGAGTTTGGTCACCAACTGGGGAAAAAACATTGAATCTGAAGAATGCAAATTCAGCCTGTTACCTTTGTACTGTAAGTGTTGACATAAATCTAGACATATACTGTAAGCAGGTTAACCAATTTGATTCAGTATATGGCTTACCATATACTGTATCTGGCCAATTGCATAAACTTCCTAATATTGTGGAAATTAAGCAAGGAATAGCAAGATACATAACAGCATCTGGACATACACTTTAACTTATAGTTTCCATTGTTGTCCCGATGAAAAGAAAAATAGAATTCTCATGTGAATTTACCCCCTGGTTTAAATTGCCATTAACTTAAAAGAGGGAATGTTTTAACAAAGTCCATGCCTCTTTGCTTAACATGAACCACGATCAGATAATTTTGCAGTGAGCTGTAGCTCAAGTGAAGACATCCATCTTTTTTTCTGACAAGAATAGAGTTTCCCAAGAGTGCCTTTTCTAGAATGGCACATTTAAGATCAGAGCTTGGCCAGATAAGACTGTGATTAACATGAAGATTGCTTCCTTATGGCAGCTGAATTAAAGTGAACATCTGTCTTCTGAAAAGAGAAACATGATTTAAGGGTTAAATAACATAGCCGGGATTCATCTCATCTTTATCTGCTGGTCTGCTGTGCTTTCTGTTACGGTTTATGACTCATAATCATATTACAAGGTGAGCTTATCCAGTCTGTTCTTTGTCTTGAAGAACTATATTTCAACCCCCTTGAGTTTTGGAAGATAATTTAATGATGTTATGTTTATGTTATCAGTGCACTTTTGGCCCTGTGCCTCAGGAAATACAGATGTTGATCACTCTGCTTTGAACGTTGAACATTTCTATATGAAGAAGTTTCTTTTATTCTATGCAGAATGTTCAGCAAAGCTCTCCAGAGATGGTCCTCAGCAGAACACCTGGTGTAGTTGGGGGGTAAAGAGAAAAATGTACATTGGATCCAAATTGAAGGACTATGAAATAAATAAAAAAATACCTTTGTGCATTTATATTTAGAAGGAACCATACTTTAACATCTGTGCTGTGCTTCACAATTTCTATTTCTATTTCTATTTGGACCCGCAGGCCAAAATGGGGATTTTCATTATTCATCCAACTATTATCTAGTCAGCTTTTTTATTTTTAGACACATGGTAAAACTTATTTCCTTTAACTTTCTAAAAGACCGTCCTAGCTCTATGACTATGGTGAGGCTGATTACGCCTAACAACTTTCTTCATTTCATACAACAATTTTCATTTTCATTGCAACATGATCAGATTTTTGCTAATCAGTAGAATAGCATATGCCACAGACACCAATGAATTCAATCTACTAAGGAGTTTCTGGCAAACAGATCCTGTGCAACCTCAGAACATGTCATTTAAGGTCAGAATACATTCATACAACATTTATCTGCATTTGTCTGTATCTGCTTCACAAAAGAGGGTTTAGATGAATGTTGACTCAGGACAGGAGCCTGGACCACAAGGCACGGTTGGATGTTTCATGGAAGTAGATGGAGCGCTCAAGATAGCAGGTCCCAGTTCAACAAGGATCATGTATTATTAAACAATGTTCTTTCTCAGTATTATTAGTGTTATTATTATTATTATATAAATACATTATTAATAAAATTATAATATTGACAACTATAAGAATAAGAAGAGGATAAAGAAAATCACCCATAATGATATATATCATTTAATTCACAGAACCTCCTTCAGCATGCTGTCTCCTTTCACTGGAATAATAATTCTTGTCCGTAGGGAAGAGTGCCTCCTAATGGTGCACAAACTCACTCACAGCAACAACTTGATTTTTATTGGTTTACCATTTACCAGTTTACCATTGCACTGTTAACCATAACATGTTTGCTTGTTTACTGAGATGTACACTGTAGCAAGATCAGGCTACATGATGATAATGTTGTTGTTATAATAAGGTCACTGAACAAGTTTTGTGTACCAGATTGTTTTCTCTTATTTGTTTGTTTTCTTGTGCATTTCTCGTTATTATTTTTTTGCTCATTCTCTTGCAGCACAGTGCTATATGAATGCTGCCCTGGATACATGAAACTGGATGGAATGAGAGGCTGCCCTGCAGGTTAGACCCTATGTGAATGCATACTGTAGTAATGGTTCAGCCAGTATAATTTAATATAACGCATGGGACATGCTTGTGCTGTCCATTGAAAACACAGTCTTAAAAAAGACATCAATGGAGAATGACACATTGCAGAACATAATATAAAGAAATTACTAAAGATAATCAGGAATACCTTGGTATAGAACTTTGTAGAAGTGCTTGGTGCTAAAATTTAACACCAGAGAAACTAACAGCACATGTTGTTCATAAAAGAACTATCAATGATTTCCAGATGTAATAATGCTTTCAAAAGGACTTCCTCGGTGTCATTTTACCAGCTTGTTTAGAAGTTTATTCATAAATAAATGTTTGTTTTGGTATTTCAGCTATCCAAAAACAGGAAATGCTTCAGAAAAAAAAAACAGTATTTACATTTATCCACCCAACCTTTTTCTAAACACTTTATCCAGTACAGTGTCGGGGGGAGCTGAAGCCTATCCAGGCAAGCAACAGTCGCAAGGCAGTACACACTATACACAGAACAGGATGCCAGTCCATCACAGGGCACACACAAACATGCACACACTCACAGCAGGGCAACTTTTCCCAGAAGCTTATATACTGATATACTGTAATTTATCAGTATATCTTTGGACACTGGGAGAGAACTGAAGCACCTGGAGAAAACCCACCTGAACAAAGGGAAAACATAAAAACTTCCCACACATAGGGAACTGAACCGAAGGCCAAAGAGCTGCAAGGCAACAATACCAACCACTGTGGCACCATACCACCCTAACATTAACAAATGCTTTACCAATTTTACAATAGTAGTCTAATTCCAGATTAATCAATCTTAGAGCAACTACTCAGAGGGTGTGGGATCAACAGTGTAGGATGGTACTGCAGTTACCTTTGGACTCCATATTTGAGATTATGAGCTCTACTTCTAGGTAACAACATTGTTGTTGAAATATGCCTTACCTAGAGTCCCTCAGTAGCACAGTAATTAGCACTGCTGTCTTTGTGGAGTTTGTATGTTCTCCCCTCAGTTCATGTGGGTTATCTCCGGGTGCTGTGGTTTCCTCCCACATTCCAAAAACACTGGTGCAGTAGGTAAATTGGCTTCTGGGAAACTTGGCCCTGGTGAGTGTGTGCATGTCTATGTGTCTGCCGTGTGACGGACTCGCATCCTATCGTATCCTATCTTCCACCCTTTGATTGCCAAGATAGGCTCCAGCTCCCTCACAACCCTGTATTGGATAAAGTGGTTAGAACACAGATGGATATTCAAAACAAATGTAGTAATAGGTAATTGTAAATTTCATCAGCCAAATCAAGCTACAATAATGATAATTACCAGTTAATTAATAGTGATTTCAAAGAAATTGTGTATGTATAATATGGACAAAGATCATACTTCTACTGTATATAATGTAAACAAGGCAGTCAAATATCAAGTTTAAATTCACGGTGATATCAAGCCCTTTACTGATTTCTATTATCTTTTTTTCAGTGGCTCCTATTGACAATGTGTATGGCACCCTTGGCCTTGTTAATGCCATCACAACTCAAGATTATTCTGATAGGTCAAAGCTGAGAGAGGAGATTGAAGGACATGGATCGTACACATTCTTTGCACCAAGTAATGAAGCTTGGGATTTGCTGGATCCTGTGAGTGACTCAGTTTCACTGATTGACATTTGGAATGGAAAACGCTTCCTATACCATAGAAAAGCAGCACCCTATCAAAATCGAAAATAAAATAATTAACTTACTGTACGGTATCTTTTAGGAAATACAGATAAGATGCTATGAACTCTTATTAGAGATTTTGTTTAAAGTGTTTTTCTGAACACTCTTTAACACACAAAAGCATGAAACTACTGTAGATGGCAGATTTTGAAGTATTTTTTTTCTCCATTACAGGAAGTAAGGAGTGGATTAGTGAGCAACGTGAACATTGAGCTGTACAATGCTCTGCACTACCACATGGTGAACAAGCGTCTTTTGACTAAAGATCTGAAGAATGGCATGACAGTGGAATCAATGTACGACAAGCAGGGTCTGCTCATCAACCATTACTCAAATGGGGTAGGTTTCAAAACAGAGACAACATAAGAATATCTGTCCATTTTCTAACTGCTTCATCAGATTCAGAGTTACAGGGGAGCCAAGCCAGAGTTTAGGGGTTGACACAGACACTAACATGCGTGTACTCACACCAGGGCCTAATTTTCCCAGAAGTCAATTAACCTACCAGTATGTCTTTGGACTGTGCAAGGAAACTGGAGCATCCGCAGGAAGCCCACACAAATGGGCATAACTTATAAAAAACACGCAAATAGCACTTTAGAAATTGAACCCATGGACCCAATGCTGCAAGGCAATAATGATAACTACTGCACCACAGTGCCTCCTAACATAAGAACATAGAATTTTGTAAATGAAGTCCTTTCTGTCCATCTACTTTATTTGGTTTTCTAGTAGTTATTTGATCCAATGATCTCATCAAGAGTCCACCCGTAGGGCTGATTTGTCAATACCTTTGAGGATTTCAGATGCATGAATCAGGTAGTCTACTAAGTTTACAACTTAAAAAAAGTTGTTCTGTCAGTGTAGAACATTGCTTTGGTATCAGGAATATATATCTAGTGGGTATAACATCCCTTGATTAAATGTATAAACTGATCGCCTTTTATCCAAAAATTCTGTCTGCCTTTTAATTGCTCCATACTGTACCTGTATATTGTCTAGAAGTTGCAAATGATGTCATCATACTGTATACACACATTTTGTTACACTAGATGCTTCTTCAAAATCAGGATTTTGCCATTTTAGATTTACAGTGTCTGTCTCTGTGACATGCATGTAACACTTTGCATTTGAATGGCATTTTAAATTGCTTTAATTAGCTTTGCAGCCTCTGTAGCATTTACTAAACATCCAATTTTGGTATCAAATTGAAATGTCTTTTTTTGCATACAAGCTGGGAAATGTAAAAATATTTATTTAACATGAAGGTTGTAAAATCATACTGAAACCTGAACCTGTAAAGTATCAACTAAAAAATGAACCACAAGACCCCAAAGCCAAACAGCACCGCATTGTTTCACCTCTCCAGATGTGCTTTGTATTTGAATGTATATTATGGAAAAGTGCAGATGTGTGTGATGTCTTTGATGTATATGACGTATTTCATGCATTTGACATAGTATGACATAAACATAGCGAGTCAAAACGTCTTCATATTTTCTACACAGCTCAGACAAAACTGGGTGCCAAAATACTCTGCTGTGTTTAACGTATTTTACCTCTTATCTTTTTTCTCACCACAGGTGGTTACAGTGAACTGTGCCAGGGTCATCCATGGCAATCAGATCGCCACCAATGGGGTCGTTCATGTGATTGATCGTGTCATCACTGGCGTTGGGAACACCATTCAAGATGTGATTGAAGTTGATGATGACCTGACCTCCCTGAGTGTAAGGATAGTAATGTTAAAAGTGATGATAATAGCAGTAATAATAGCAAAGTGCCCAGACATTCCGTTACCCTCTCAAATAGAATAGTAATAATTGCTGTTCTTTTCACAACCTGGATGTTAAATTGTTAAATGTTAAATTTTTACATTCATAAAATATATCGTACAGTGGTACTCCTGGCCTCACCTTACCTTAGCATAACAAACTAGATTAGGGGTCAAAAAAATCTTCAAAAAATGATGCTTTCACCCTAGGCTGCTACTGTTGCATCTGGCTTGCTGGATAAACTCGGGGAGCCTGGACACTACACTGTTTTCGCTCCCACTAACGAAGCCTTTGAGAAGCTGCCCAGAGCTGTGCTGGAAAGGATCATGAGTGACAAGGTGGCCCTGCAAGGTAAGCTAAAAATGCCTCTTCTCTTTCTCGGTCTCTTTGGAGAGAAAGGAATAGTTGGAAAGAATGATCGTTTATACAATGAGACTATGTTCTCAATGCGACTATGTTATATAATGTAACAACATTATATAATAAAGCTGTTACATAGTCTTTATTCTATTTAATAATAAGATATTAGTTGTAATATTCAATAATAATAATAATTCAATGAAAATGTCTATCTTCCTGTTTATCTCCTTTTACGTCTTGCATCTTGAGGAGCACCTTTTCTTTAGTCAGACAGATGAAAAGCATATTTTCTATACGATAATCACCATAATGACATACTCATCCTAATTATTTGAGTTAGCACTCTGCTTGTATTTCTTCACTTCAGTAGTGTAGTCTGTTTTCCATGCAATTTTCTAGAGATTAAACCTGTGTGGGCAATGCCTGTGTGTTGTGTTTCCTTTTCTCTTATTTTTTACAGAATGTGTGTTTTAATGTGTCATCCTGAGTCACTGCTCAACTGAATGAGCATTTATACTATTTATATCTCAGACAGCTGGCAAACATATCCCTGACCACACTAAGGGCAAATCCCACTTAAATTATTGTTTCTAAAGTGGATTTACAGAATGAAACTGACTTTTTGTTATGCATTGTAACATAATCCCTACATGTTTAAGTTCTACTCACACTATTGCATTCCAGAATTAAGTACAAAGTAAGATATCCTATTTCCATTTTTTGTAATGCAGGTTTTTGTAGTGGCAGTTGCACTAACATTCACTTAAACATTTACAAAACTGTCTAAATACAGCACGTCATAAAAATGGTGACACATTTGGACTGCTTATACAATGTGGCGCACTTTCACTTAAACATTTATAAAACTGTCTAAATACACCAAGAAATAATTATGCAAACACCTTCTATCTTGGGTGTACTCCAATCTGGCTCCAGACTGCTGCGCACCTTACCATATACTGCCTGAAAAATACTTATTAAATCAGATTGAATACATTAAAAACATTTCATGTTGCAGAAAGAATTTAACAAAGCATTGAAAAAGAGCAGCTGTTAAATAAGAAGGCTGGACCACCAATACGAATAGCTATTGATGAAATGCAGGATAATAAAATAAGCACGCTTCAAGGTGTACAAAAGAGTGTGCCAAACACCTGGGGCATTTATGGGTAATTTATGCAAATATCAACTTTAATCCCAAGAGACTGGTGGCAGTTTGATCTTTCTATTAGGTAACAATGCCAAAAGGGAGAAGGGCTATGACTTTTCCTCATAAGAACCCAATAATATGCCAGCTGTAATAGAGTTGTATACCATATTACTGTAAGGTTTGATAGTTAAGCGCACACTTTGCTAAGATATTAAACAAAACATTTTTTTTATTTCTAAACTTGTAAGGACAAGTCTTGCTTCTAAATCTTTGACAGCAAGGACATGCTTTGATAAGCATTAAACAGACCTTTTTTTTCTAGACTTGTGAGTGCATGTCCTTTAAATTCTAGAGTCCTCTCATTCCCCAGAGAACCACCACTGCCCACACACCACTATACAGAAGCGAAAGCAACATACAGTATACAATACGTTGGCATGACAAGCACTATGTTCGAAGTGTAAGGCAGCACAGTTGTGTAATGGATAGCATTACAACTGGGTTCAGTTCTGGTCCTGGGATATAATCTGCACAGAGTTTGTTCTCCCTTTGTTTGCATGGCTTTCCTTCAGGTGTTCCAGTTTCCTCCCACAATTCAAAAACATACTGGTAGGTTAATTGGGATCTGGAAAAATCAGACTCTGGTGTGTCTGTGTGTCAGCCCTGCAATAGACTGACATCCCATTAGAGGTGTACCCTGTCTTGCACCCAGGTGTGAGTGTGTGTCTGTGTGTGTGGAGACTGATGTTCAGACTGTCACTCTAATACAGCAGAACAGGAACCACCAGAACACAGAGATTTTTCAAGGTTTGTTTTGACCCACAGCCCTGCTGAAATTCCACATTCTGGACTCGGTGCAGTGCTCTGAGGCCATCATGGCTGGCAGCTCTTACGAGACGCTGGAGGGCAACAACATCGAGATCGGCTGCGACGGCGAGAGCCTGACAGTGAACGGAATCAAGATGGTGAAGCGCAAGGATGTCGTGACCAGCAATGGTGTCATCCACTTCATCGACCAGGTCCTGATCCCCAATTCAGGTGAGCCTCACCCACCGGTTCAACTGACGCTAGTGTTAACGTTGGAGCTCCCATCGAACTTTAGCCTGAACTGAAATTTTCACATCTCTACATTGGGATTGGATTGGGATTTTGTTACTTGTGAATGTTACAGTAGTGAACACAAGGCAGTAAAAGCACTGACATGGAGAGAAGGTGGAATGTATTTGAAATGGTTACAGTTTAGCCCATTTTATTTAGTTTTCACAAGTGTTCGGTATTAAAACAAAGTGTTGTTTTTTACAACACATAACAAACTTGTATTCTTCTGAACTGTTTTAAAATATATAGCATTTTTATGTCAAGACTTACATATGGAATGTGTATGTACAGCAATTATTCATGGTTTGGAGTGTAAATGCAATAGCGATATGTTTGATCAATACTCAATATAAAAAGTATTCCGTCCAGGTAGTCTATGCCATATGTAGTGCAATATGTGCTTGTTGGTTTTGAGTAAGATCCAAGAGACTGTATTGTTTGTGATAGAGTTGCAGTGTTAGGATACTTATCTTGTTTTTGTTTATTTTACCATTAAGCTAAACAGGTTCTGGAGCTCACTGGACCCTCTCAGTCCACCTTCACTGATATGATTGCTCAGCTGGGTCTGGCCGGTTCCTTCAGACCTGAGGCAGAGTACACCCTGTTGGCCCCACTGAATGGAGCTTTCACAGGTGTGTACATCTTTTGGACAAAGTCACTGAAGTTCCTGGTTCAGATGCTTACTTAGCTATCTGTACCAGGGCATTCAAAATACTGTATATAAAACTCCATATATTGGACTCATTGGTGGAAATTAATTTTACTAGTTACAAAACTGTGTTTTAATCATTAGATGAAGTGCTAGCTATGGACCAGAGGCGTCTGAAGATCATCCTGCAGAATCACATCCTGAAGCTGAAAGTTGGTCTGAGCCAGCTGTACAATGGACAGCTCCTGGAGACCCTCGGAGGGAAGATTCTCAGGGTCTTCATTTACCGCACTGTAAGGTTTTTGCTATGCTTTTAGCATTTTCTTTGATTCTTAATTTGTCTGTCTGGCTTACATTTGTAAGCATTAAATGGCAATGAAAAATAATTTCCTATAACACCTCTCCATGTTGTTCATTATGCTTTTAAAACAATTATTTTATATCCCTTTAATTGATTCTCCCCCTTATTTCTTTCTTGCAGAAACTGATTTTATAACACGGAGCATTTCTTTAATTGAATTCCAATAATCCTGCTATAAAAAAAGGATTATGTAGGTTCATGCATTTCATTTATTTCAAAACTACAATTTCATCAAGAACATGCTTTTGTATTTCTCTTTAATATGGTAGTGCACTGAAGTAGCATTAAGTGATCTTTATCATAAATCATAAGGGTAGGGCTGCATTTAAACAGCTTTTCTAAGTTCATTGTTTCACAAAAATCTGAATCACATAAAAATAGCATATTTAAGGAGGCAAATACATATTGAGCCGAGTGCTGCTTGAGTATGTGATAGAAATGAAGAAAATAAAGTTTTACACAAAATGTTTTTGTTGGCAATAGGAATCAAATTAACATGTTCTTGTAACAGTACTTATCAGTGTCACAGCAATATAAATCTACTCAGTAAAAATGTTTTTCAATTAAAATAACATCTGTTTTAGAACCACTAATGGAAGGATTTTAGAAAGCAATTTTATAAAGCACTTTTTATTACCAAGCAGGTGGTCAAGAAAACACTTAAATGCAGCCATGCATTAGTTTCAGAATTGTCAAATAGGCTGTAAAATGGACCTTGTCAATATACAATTGGTACTATTGTCTTAAAATTTGGTACTGCTTTCTTCTCAGCTAAGCTCAGCTATGTGGTTCTTCTTAACAGGCTGTCTGCATTGAGAACTCTTGCATGGTGCGAGGCAGCAAAGAAGGGAGAAACGGTGCCATCCACCTTTTCAGAGAAATCATCACACCAGCGGAAAAGTCAATGTTTGAAATCCTGAAGAGTGATGCGCGATTTAGGTAGTGCCAACGTCAAAAGGCTAGAATTCCATGAATGTGTTACTGAAAAAAACATCTGGCTAAATCGTGAACCACAAATATGACTATTACAGGGATGAAAAAGCAAAATAAAAAGGATTTGCTTTTCATTTCACTTGCCGAGTACACTGTATGAGACAGGAAAATTAGTCTGAGCTATTTGAGCCTGAGCCTCAGCCTCTTTTTAAAAAAAATGAACACCTCTGTGTACAGCCAGACTTAATACTTATTTATTTAATAAAAAAAACATTAGACTTTAGCAAGGTCTTTTGAAAGTGTTGTTGTGTTCTTTATAAAAGCAAATATCTGCTTAGTGTTTATGCATAACTTCCCAGGAAATGAAAACAAAGCAAAGATTATTGACATGAGACATATTTGAATAGATTGTTTTTTTTTTAACACATCTCCATAGCTGTGCACCTATTTCAAAGCACCCACATCATCCAGGTGGGTGCAAAGCATTAGTGATGGTGGAGGGGAATCCCCATTAACTGTAAAGCACTTTGAATGGAGTGTCCAGAAAAGGGGTTTATAAGTGCCAGGAATTATTATTATTATTACAAAATAAATGGCAATTGTATGGTTAACACAGCCAAAATATGCTTACGGTCTTGACATTTGATGGTGTATGGTTGCCATTTAAAAATCTTTTGTGCATTTCCATTGCAGCATGTTCTTGCAGCTGATGGATGTTGCCGGCCTGACTGAGGTACTCAAGCAGAAAGGAGATTGGACTCTCTTTGCACCAACCAATGATGCTTTTGAGGGTCTGACTCAGAAGGAGATTGAGATTCTTACGAGTAAGTGTTCAGCAAGCTGACAAAGAAAACCGGTTCTCTCAAAAACAGAAGGAGCATCAAAGTTATATACAGTATATCAATCATATATATATATCAATCATTTTATATTCAAAACAGTACAGAAATGTTATAGATTGACCAAACCCATTCACAACTGTGCTCATCCTTGAATACTTCTGAAGACGTCACGTCAAAACTGATTTGATTGGTTTTCTTAGGCAGAAAGCTTTAATAATTTAATAGGATTGCGCCCTAAAAAATACAATTGATTGTTTAAAAAATCTGTGTCAAAACAGATAATTCTAATGCAAAGACATATATCATGAAAAACAGGTGTAAATATATATATACACAGTATATGTGGATTTGTTAATGTATACACATCATTTTTTACCTACCATATTCTATTTTAAAAACGTTTTAATGATATGGGCATTTCCAGATTTAATAATACATGTTTCCACTGATTTCTATAACAACCAAATCTAATATTAAAAGTATTCTCAGGTGTTAAGTTTCTCCCGTGTACTCAACAGGTGACCCCAATGCCCTCAAGACCATTCTGCTATACCACTTGAGCAATGGCGTTTTCATCGGTGGTGGAATGGAGAGTGGAGTCACCAATCTTCTGAAATCCATGGCAGGCAGCAACCTTATGGTGAAAGCAGTGAGTATACACTCCTTCTGTATGCATACCTTAGCTGTTTAGTTATGAAAGAATATAATTCATTCGGGCTGCCCAGTCAAATTAATGGGCCTTTTTATGACGTGTGTTTTCTCATTTTCAAAAAAAGCTTTGGAACTGAAGAGATGTTTTCTTTCAGATTATTTTGTACTGTAACCAGAATACACTAGAATGGAATTCAAATCCTTCAGGAACAAAAAATATTCAAGCAAGATGTTAAGATGAAGAGCTGAACATCTTTAAGTGTCGGAAAGTGCCAAGGTTTTCATTAATACATGTACATATCTTTGCACTGTGTGTATGTATGTGCCCCCCCTCCTCACTGATTCTTTTTCCCACAGACTTTCTGTACTCCCTCCATTGCTTTTCAGTGCTATAAAGAGTCACCTATGGAAATTAGTCGAGTCTCTGACCACCTTTAGATACTGTAGCACCTGTGATCCCTCAGTTCTCAACTCCATTCTTTATTAAATCTTATGCAGCTAAGATTAAGGCATCTGTTAGGATGAAGAAGGCAATGTTGATGAAGTTGATGATGATGATGATAATAATAATAATAATAATCATATAAATGTGTGCACACAAATGTATGGTTTTTAAGATACATCTTTATCATTTGGTATAGCATTACATAACCTGCCATACTTACAGTACTTATTATATTATTTTCTCACCAAATGGGATGGGATTGATTCATAAGAAAATCTTCAATTATTTTCCTAAGAACAATATTCTTATTTTTTTAATTCTTACATAATTATAATTCTTCTTATGATAATTATCTTCAAAATCTCACAAATATCTACAAATCTGTTTCCTTTGGTTTACTCTCATTCATTTTTTGTTTAAAATGTTATCTCTAAGACTCAAGAAACATTGAAATTGTTTTCCTTTTTCCAAAGCTGATGGCTACAGTATACAGTATATACTTTTTAACTTCCTAAAAGAAAACAATGATAGATTTTTCCAGATGTAAAATTATATCCTGGCCTGATTTTTGTTTCTATTAGCAGACCCTTTTCATTAAATTTGTCTTGTGATTGAGATTTAGGGGCCTGCTCCCATTGTGGCTAAATTTTGTACCATTATTTCAGTTCTTCACACCTTCTGTTGTAAGCCCTCATGTTTCTAATGTAAAAAAGCAAACCTTATCTAAATTAGTCTGGCTCCTACTTTTATTCTTTCTTAGCTTTGCATCAAATCTCATGTTGTTTCAACAGGAATTTGTGTTAATAAAAATAAAGTTGACAATATTAAAGGAAGTACCCATCATGAGAAAGAATAATGGTCACTTCTTTTCTCTGTTTAGATTAACAACACTATCCTGGTGAACGAGGTGAAAGCAGATAAAAGCGATGTCATGGCAACAAACGGTGTCGTTCACATTGTCAAGTCTCTTCTCTATCCACGAGGTAAGTGTTACATTTTTACTTGTATTATAATTCTTATTCCTAATAGATGTGCTGTTGTTGTAGTCGTAGCCACAGTTTACATTACAACTGCAAATCACATACAAATTAGGCATGAATGGCCTAAAACAGAAAGTAATAGGAGTGTTGTTCAGAGGAAAATACAAATTTAGGGACTCTATATTGCTTAACAGGAATGTACCTTGGATAATATACAGAAGTGAACTTTACATGCATATAGCAGTTGGAGTAAATTGGATCTCTCTCAATGCTTCTTTAGCATTATCACATCTACTGTACAATGCCAGATTTGAAATCTTTTTAATAACAGTTTTGTTAGTGGAGGTATTGTGGTGGCCCATTGTCAAAGTCAATATAGTTTTGTAAATGTGTCATGGGAACAGTACCACAGACAAAACTGCCACAGCTGGAGATTGTTTTGACAGTGTCGATTGCAATTGTTTTGTCCATTGTCAAATTGTCCTTTTTCTAAATTACAGTCAAATTTTCTGGTCACAGAAGTGTTTGCTGCCATGTTAAGGCTTGGTTACAGTAATTCAAAAAGATGCAGCGGTTTCTAAATTGAACATTAAATATGTTTGAGTTAAAGTTTGGATCTCAATTAAAAGTTTCAATTCACTAGCATTTCTCTTTTCTCTACATGTTTGCTTGTCTGTTGAAACATACAAAAAGTCACATGTAAGAACATAATAAGTGACAATATTAGTAGTGAGTATTAGTTGTAAAAAACAACTAAACCATTTATAGAAATGTTAGCCAGACAAAAGTAAATAATGAAAAGATATGATTTAAAGGGGTGAGAGCATATAACTTCCTGTTTGTGTTAAACATTGCAGATATCCCTGTTGGAAACCAACAGCTCCTGACCATACTGAAAAGACTGATCAAGCACATTCAGCTCAAGGTATGACAGACTTTATACAGTAGTTCTTGTCAACGTTTACTGTTTCAAACAGCCACACGTGTTTGAGAAAAATAAAATGTTCCGGACTACTGAGTGTGCAAAATACTACATTTGAAAATTAATTGAATGTCACCAAATATTGAAACTCCATTTTCTAAAACCTGTCTAAGAGGGTTTGTGAATGTATTACTGTTTTACAGAGTATATCAGAATGTTAAAAATACATAGCTAAGTCCTACAAACTGCACATATTCAGATCACTGCAATCATTATGATCTTATAATAATACAGTTAATGCACTAAATCTCTGTTGATATCCCACATCTGGCTATCAGTATTACTGATATTCTTTTTTTCTTTTAGTTTATTCAGGGATACAGATACCAAGAAATTCCTCTGACATTCTTAAGTAAGTAAAGAAAAAGCACTTTCTGTTATATTCATTTGTTTCTAAAGGCTATCCATTTAGGAGTCTTTGATTATTTTGTTGGTATACTTTATATTGGTCACATTTTATGATCTCAAAAAGAAGTGAATGTGGTTATGCCTCCCTTAAGTTGTTGCTCTTGTTATAAAGTTGCCAGAATCTGAAAGGTGTACAAACCCACAAAGCATACTTATCACTTCTCTTCTGTTTAACATTTATATTTTTTCTATTTTTTACCATGTATTTTCTTGACTTTCAATAAGATTGCATCCAAATAATTATGATAGCTGCCTTTGTCTTTAATCCATAGCAAAGATAATTAAAACAGAGGTACGTGAACCTGAGATTAAAATAATTGGAGGCGGAACTCAGACAGTCACCAGAGTCATCCAAGGAGGTAATTTATAATGTATACAATATATGTATATATTATAAATAAATATATCTTATAATATATACAGTATATATAAAATCCCCATGTCTGCAATGGTAACATCAAGAGAAATTGTGTGATTTATTTCAAGAACGTTTCTAGAGTTTTGTGTGAGACATCATTAACTAATTGAATTGATAAAACACCACAAAATGATATGATACCCAATAAAGAACATAGTTCACTTAAATTAAATTTGTATACTTCTTGATGAACAATGATGAAGGAGCATCATTGATGAGGGTTATAATTTAAACTAAGTAGCCGACATAGCCATGAATATTTGTACTGGGCATTTCTGCAATTAAAGCCTTTGATAGACATGAAAATGTACGTTTTTGACTGGGTTGTAAGAGGTAGAGCTGAAAGGCAAATCTATAAGTTAAAATAGCATTGGTAGTTCCACTATTAGCCATTACTGTTTCATCCTCAAAGTATTTTATGCATGAAAGCTGTCTTTGAGAATATGCCTATAATTAACAATTAATAATATGATTACAGTTTGTAGACATGTATACTGACCAGATGATAACAGCATAATTAGAAGCTCACTGAATCCAAAACATCATACTGTGTAATGAGCTGAAATTAAAAAAATAGGCAGGGTTTGTTATGGGTTAGTTTGGCCGGTAGTCAAGTCTCCTAGGAAGTGCACAATGACTGCTGTGTTCAAAGAACAAAATTAATCTACACATATAATGACTAGGCCTCTTTGTTTGTCAGTCATAAAGAACACTTTCAGTCATTTTAAGCAATTACACAGTTACTGATAATATATAAGAAACATTATGATGAAAACAGGCTACTCACAACTATGCAGTTTTCCACTATCCTATACACTAAACAACTTGCACTGATTATCTTTTTAAAAAATCCAGCATATCTGTCTTATGCCATCTGTTGTTAGTAAGGTATACAAGTCTTACTTTCAAGGTTCCAAAAAATTATATAAACAGAAACATGTTTCTTCTAAAGCCCTGGTTTAAATTATTCTGACACTTGATTAAATCTCCAATTTTCCTTACAAATTCACTAGATGCAGGATGAACTTAGTACAGTACTTTTTAGTACAGTGCATGGATTGTAGGAGGTATTGAGGACTAGAACAATACTTAAGGTATACCCTTTTTACAGGTATTAATTATTTATCATTAAGTTTGGGGGATTTTATATATATTTCTATACACATAATTGATTATTTAGCGCACACTTTTATCTTAAGTGAATTTCCAAAGCTGAACTGTAAAATATGCATCAACAGCTGCAGCTACGGAGGTATAGTCGTTCACAAGAGACCTTGGTTTCAAATGTAACCAATGAAAGGGCACAGGGAAGTTCAGTAACTTGCCCATAGTAACATAATGTGAACCAATGGAGGAGGTGAGCTGCACATCTCTTGAAAAGTCCTTTTTGTTTCTGACCAACGTGCTTTCTATGAAAGGGAAATTGAAATAAAAAAACAAAACGTGGGTGGTGCAGTGGGTAGCATTGCTGCCTCACAGCTCTGGGGCCCTGGGTTCAATTCCAGGGGTGCTACCTGTGTAGAATTTCAATGTTTGGGTGCTCCAGTTTCCTCCCATAGTCCAAAAACATACTGGTAGGTTAATTGGCTTCTGGGAAAACAGGCCCTAGGTGGGAGTGTGTGATCTGTGTGTCTCCCCTGTAATGGACTAGTGTCCTGTCCAGGGTGTACCCTGCCTTGCTCCAATTGCTTGCTGGGATAGGCTCCATCTTCCTTATGACACTGAATTGAAAGAAGTGGTTAGAAGGGATGACAAATTATATCATAATTCTACAGCATACTGTAGGAATTCTAGTTGCAAGGATGAAATCATCTTTTGATGACAGGAAATGCACAAGACGCATCAATATAAACTTCAGAAAATGTTGTGCTGTTGGTTTTAAGCAAGTGATGTTCTTGGGGAATTGTGTACATATGACAAAGATGTTCTGCTGTACATGAATTTGTATATCCAGATTCCATGCTCAAGGATCAGGAATACAGGTATCATGCAGCCACTGGGAGAAACAGTTACCATGTCCTCAAAGGTATTCAGGACTCAACAGCTGCGCATGTTCAGCCACACTCTCCACGGGTTGAATGAAGTTTATGCTCACTGGTGTGGCTGACACGCTGATTTCCTTGGTCAGCTCCTTTTAAAATGTATTCACATATTACAGTATGTGAATACAGTATGGGCTGTCATTGATAGTGTTCATTTACTTCACTAAATTTCAGTAATGCTTAAAGAAAATAAGAGTCTGTATTTCTGCACTAACTTATCCCATTGCACGTAGTTAATACAGTGAATTGCATTTTTGATAGTTGTATGTTATTTTCTAATTTTAATTCAATTTAATTGATGCATTTATTGATGAAAAATACTCCTTACAGTATTGTATTTTAAAATATTCTAAATTTAAGAAGTTGATAGTGGTATCATTTGTACTGTATGCACAGACATTTTAAAAAACAAGGTTTTCACTTCAGAATGTTTTTGTTCTTAAACCTAAAAAAAAAACAAAAAAATAAATGTATAAAGCACAGAAATGTAGTTAACAAAAAAGAAATCAGATTTGTAAATTAATCAACAATGGCAAGCTTACATTTAACACAGAAGAACTAGAATAAGCTCCGTGGTTCTAAATGTGTCAGATATAAAAGAGTGTTGTTCTGAAGTGCAGTTTTGTTTGTTTGTTGAGTATTCCCCAAATTTTACGTTTCTGTCTTCAATGAAAGCCCATGAGGAACACTGAACTTTTACTCCCACGATGTGCTGGAGAGTGATAGAAATATTGCATTAAGAGCACCTTTATCTGAAAGTCTCAATTTAATCCACGCTTTCAAGCACCTGAAAACAGGTTAGCTTGCTGAGGCAGAGGCAACAGAGGAAGAGTGATGCATGATCACCCTTATACACAAGTCCCCACAGCTGCATGTGCATGTCCACACAGGTAATGTTTGAAAACTGTTATTGTACAACCTGCGCAGTGCAAACAAAGGGTCTCAAACTGTGGACAAATAAAAGATGCTGGTGATCTTATTTTACACCTCTATAATCTTTTAAAATGTGAGGTTTAATCAAGATGAAATACTTCTGATGAGAAATGCCAGGAAGAACAGCTGTAAACTGTTTACTCCTTTGGAAAAAGCCATCAATATTTATTTGATTTCCTGCATAAGGCCAGCTGCAATGAAAAATATTTTTTTTTTTCTATTAGTATCCTACAATATTTAAGTTTATATATGCTCTTCTATATACCTTTTATTTCATTATTTTTACATACTGTAAGTGATAAGATGTTCTAAGGCTTCTTGTCTCCACATTCAGAACACCAGACTACTGTACATGTGGTTTGTATTGCATTAGCAATTTTGTAGCTACTATTTGACCCTGATCTCTATACACTGTTCAGGTTGTACTGTGATATTAATATTAGTTTGAAATCTTATTCTCTGTTTTTGGATATTTTTGCTTTAGGACCTCAGATTACAAAAATTACTAGGGTTGTTGATGGACAGCCATCTATCACTAAGGTGACAAGAGTCATTGAAGGTGAACCTGCCATTACCAAGGTGACCCGGGTCATCGAGGGAGACCCAGCCCTTACCAAGGTTACACGAGTCATTGAGGGAGATCCCACCCTTACCAAGGTTACACGTGTCATTGAAGGTACTGTAAGTTCTGGAGAAACAGCAATTGAATCACAGCTAAAAGGTTTATAAATGTTGAGTTATATATTATTGGAATCAATTATAGAAACAAAGGAAAATATGACTATTTGCAAATTTGTCAGAACTAACAACATTTTGTAAAAATGACAAGCAACTAAAAATAATTATCATATTAATCTGCTACAATGTCACTGCTCTGCCACCTCAATGTTCATGTATTTATACGTGGTGACACGGCTGTACAGTTGTAAATATGTGGTGAACTCTATGGCAAGGAAATCTACCATGACAATCACATGGAAATCTAGTTCACCCAGTGCTGTATGTAAGAATCTGAGCCGCGTTCATGAACCTGGTACTTTTGACAATAGGAGAGGGCAAGGGAAAATCAAAATTCTCCATCACTGTCTAGATCTTCACCATGAATCCTCTATATGAAAAGTAATGATACGGTAGAGAACTTCGGAATAACCTTACTACAAGTAAAGGTGCTGATTTTGTTCAAGAAGAATAAGACAAGAATAAGAACAAATTGATCTTATTAGGGTGCAGCTGTTTAGTAACATTTTGCTTTTGCTTGATTGATTTCCTCTCCTCAGCAAGAGTGTTCCCAACGTAACCGATATTTGATACTTGACTCATTTAGCATTCTGCTGGCAAATTACCAATCTAGCCCTTTCAGTATAGGTGTTAGTAAAGAAGTTAAGGAGTGATATAAACATAAAACGCAGTGACTTTTGATCTTATAGTTTAAATTTTGGAAATAGCTTTCCCCTACCTTATTTATATGTGTTTTCTCTATTAAAATAGAAACTGACAAAGATGTCTTTAATTGTCATTCTGCTATCCTTATTCCGGAAACCGCTCACCATGTTCTTATTTCAACCCAGGTCCTCAGTACGCAGTCACTCATGTTTCCACCGATGGCCAGCATGAAATTGATGGAGAGATCAAGAAGATTCTCAGTGAAGGTCAGTGAAAAGCTCTAAGTGTGAATAATTGTCTGTGGTTGATTAATGATTAATAGCCTACCATTAAAGGCAAAGCATTGTCATAATCAGGGATATTGAGGTTAACAACACTCAGACAGGATGACTCTCTTTTGCACTTTCATTCCGGAAACCCTACATCTTGCAAGATACACAGAGTTTGGAAATGAGAGTGTGGGGGAGTTTACAACTCCCTTATGTGACTGTCTGCCCTTGCATGAATAATTAAACCTTCCTGCACAGTTTTTGTTTCTTCACATGAAGGGATCTATAACTTCTGAAAGATGAAATAGCACTGCTACAACCTCCCAAAGTTTTTAAAGAGAATTAACAAGTGTTTTGCATAAGAGAGAAGGAAAAAAAAGGCATTTTGTTATTAAATGGATAAGCCTTATCATTTTAGGCCTGATGTTTTCCTTGAGATATTTCTTTTTGACATTGCTGATGTTTTGAATCAGAAGATGCACTTTAATGAGAGACAGATGTGTGAACAAGGTGTTTTTGCCATGTGCCCTATCAGAAGCTACCAAGGTTACGAAACTACTTGAAAGTGAAGCACACTTACTTGAAGAAGAAGAAATCAAAAGGCTTCTCCAGGGAGGTTAGTTGGTTGGGGTAGACTAATCCCATTGGATCCAATCTGCAGTCAGGATAATTATGATTGCTTTTCTGATGTTTATAACTGTCAGCATCCCCTCCATGTATGACATACTGTAATTTCTTAACAAGCAGATCCTCCTATTTCTGTAGTTCTTTGAGGGCTGTATTTATATCCTTCCTAAATTGTAATACTGTACAGTACATGCGTATATACAGTATGGTTTTATGTACAAAAATATCTCTAGACAATAAAGATACAAGAAATAAATTAGGTGAATACAGGTTATTTTTCAGCCCTCAAAATGCTGCTGTGCACTAAATATGATTCAAAAGTAAAAATAAAAATTTATTAGACCACAATTTGTAAAGAAACAAATATGTAGAAAGTAATATGCCACAGACAGGCATGTTAAGATATACAGTACAAAACAGAAAACAAATATGCATTTTTGCTAAATGATATTTAGTGCACATACTGTAGTATGCAAATATGCTGTGGTATGCATGAATAATAAAATGATGCATAACATTTACCCAGATTCACCCCTGTACTGTATATGTTTCTAGGGCCAGTAAGAGCAGGAAAAGAGAACAACCAGAAGATAGGTCCATGCTTTAAAAATAAAAAGAGGAAAAACACAATTTCTCAGCTGTGGGGCCTTTTTCAGGTTTGTTGAGGTGGGTGGGCTCCACAGCTGAAACATTGAGGTTTCCCTTCTTTTGTTTTACTGTGCAGTGTGAAATAAAGCTCTGCTGGTTTATGTGCAGCTCACTCACTAATGCTGCTTCCCCACTCTGTTACAGGATAAAGCTAAATTTTGAATTAACAAACATTCACATTCTGGCCCAAAATGCATCATACTGTACATCTTTAAATTACTCTTAAGCAGACAGGAGTAGGAGGAATTTATCCCAGGCAGTGGGTGTATCTGGTAAAACTATTTAACCAGAGAAATGCGATTTCATGCAACTTTGTAGAACAACAGCTGTGTGCAAACCACAATAAGGGTTTCAGTGCTGGTGGAGATTTTTTAAGACGTGTTCTGTAGAGAGCATAAAAATAAGATTTTATTGTACTATACTATACTGTAGATTATGGAAACCAGTATTTCTTCAGATTTTATCACTAGGTTGCACTGCTGGTGTCCAGTGACAATAGCATTAAAGACTATAATTCATCCTAGTGTTTTTCATTAACTGAATTACCTCAGATAGTAGTTACTTAATGTTCTATTTTGACAGGAAACCAATGCACACAAGCACATGATGTACTGTATGATTTACAGAATGGGCCTTGGAAAATCTCCACCTTTTTGCCATATTATTCTGCTTGGCTCAGTCCTTTTTGATATGTGACTCACTGAATAGCATGAGGACTTCATTAGTGATAGAAGATCAAAGCTTCAAATAGCAAAAAGCTGTGAGCCTGGTTTGATAAATATGGACTAAATGGAGGTTGGGAATCATGTTAACTTTCTATAAAATGTTTTCTTTCCTAATTGCCACAATCAACTTGATATAGTCATGTTTTTCTTTGGATTGAAAATGAGATTTTTTTTTTCATCATTTATATACTCTGTATATCATATATCAGAATTTATATACTCACTGGTTTAAAAACCTTCCTTTCAGCTCAATTTTCAATATTATACAGTACAGAAACATTCGGGAATGCAGTATGTTCGTGCTTTTCTCTAAAAAATAATTATGTTATTTTACTCTATAGATGAGGGCATGTCATTAGACTCAAAAGTAAATTTTCCCTTCTTAGTGGTAACAACAGTTTAGAGGTTTTAAATTATGATTGGTGTTTTTAATAAGATTTTATTTCACAAAGCAGTCCGCCTCTGTGCGATATTACAGCCATGTACAGAAAAAAGTGAGAAAATGTAAATTCACCTTGAAGCTGATGTTTTTTTTTTCCGTTTTTTTTTTCAATTGTTTCGTCTAATACTGACTTTTTCAAACCGTAGCTGGAACTGGGTACACCAAAGTGACCAAAGTGATTCAGGGGGAGCCTCAAGTCATTGAAGGTGTTTTTTTCTGAATTTTTCCTCTTTCAAATTTAAAGTTCTGTTTAATCATTGGCTTCCAATGATTGGTTCTTTACCTTGTTTCTTTTTCAATTAAAAATTAAGCTTAAGATAAGCATAACCAAAACATTTTAGAATTCTCTAGTCCTGCATTATGTAACACTAAGGGTCTAAATTTTTTAATATATTAAAACTTCTATTTTGTGTGTTTGAGAATACAGTGCATATCAAATTACCTATTCAGTTATACAGTATGTACATGTATGTATGTATGATTCTTTTCCCACATTTCAGTAATATCACAATATGAGTTTATACCCTGACAAAGACCCAGAAATGGTTGACCTTTTCTCATTTACCACTTAGTTTAGCTTTGATTTGCCTGGCCTTGACAGCTCACTTAACAAGTTTAAATAAACTGACCATATTGATTGTGATGCAGCATTTACTAGACTAGGGACAGTATCTGAACTATATTCACAACAGCACTGGGTCATGACCTGAGAAGTATTCAGAAAAGTGCTTTTTAATTTAGGAAAGTTGATGTTTTTTATGGTGAAGAAACAATAATTTAGCAATATAACCACTACTGTAGCCCTACCACATGCAATGTACTGTATAACCAACATCTGAAAGGGCTTTCATGCTCAGAATTTTCACAGCTTTGTTCTTCCACATCTTGAAGTTTGATAGTTGTTGTCTTCTTGGGGATTGAGCAAAGTTTAATATGTATTTTCCCCCTAAGGACCTTTTTCCCAGTACCACACCACAATCGAAGGAGAGCCCCAGCAACTGGAGTCTGATTCAGAGAAAGTCACCACATTCATTCAAGGTTTGAAGAACCCACGCTTCAAGAAGAAAACATGAATTATTCTTGTAGACACCATGGTTCATTCCATACTGCAAAGTTCAAATAAATTTTCTTTCAGCGTGTAATTAACAGCTCCTTTGCTGACTGCATGCTGACACAGCTCCCCACTTGACACCATGTTTTATTCATTATTCTTTTTTTTTCTTTTAACATCAGGAACAGTGAGAAATCCTTCTAGAAGAATTCCAACAGGTACCTATATTTAATTATATTTCATTATATTTTAAGAATGTTCAGGAGGTGGAGAACCCCAAAGCTCACCCACGTTTGGTCACATGGACAGTAATATGAAACATTCCCAAACATATTGTAACGCAACGGGGGCTCAGGCAGGCGCCCTTGCCGCATTAGGTCGGCCCCCCACCGTCGGGGGCTCGAACCCAGGACTCCCACGTCGCTCAGCAGGGACCCAGCCCGGTGAGCTAAAGCAAGATCTCGCCACAGCCCAGGGGCTGTGGTCCTGCTATTACTGGGAAGGGCAGTGAGGTCACCTGCTCTGGTACGCCGGCTCTTACACAGTGCCTGTCGCCCGTAAGCGTTACAATATCTTATATATAATACCATTAAAATGACTGAAATATGCCACTGTAATAGTCTAAATGAAAAAAAAACTGGATTTGTGCCTTGGTGTTGCTAGAAATATCTGAAGTAGAGGTCAGAAGTTGTATTGTTTTTGTATATTTCTGATTGATTGACTTTTCCAAGTGGTGATTTTGTTCTTTTTTACCTGACTGATAATTTCTATTTGCTGCAGCACCCCGAAGAAGGACTAGACTCGCCCAGCATAAACGAATCCCTCGGCAGTGATTGAGTAATTGGGAAATCTCACTACCACTTCCATATAATACTTTGTGAGGAGAATGAGAGTAAAAGTAAACCATCAGGACCAAAACCAAGAGCCAAACTGGTCCAAACGCAAGATAGGTAAATGCCTCTGGGATAAATAAATGTAAAAACCTCAGTGGAAATGATCACTTGATGCTTGTCAGCCCTACGCCAAATAACCATCTTTATAGCTGTAAGAAAATGTTGCATTCCAAATGAGTATTTAGACCACCTCATATATTAACACTGTACCTGAATACACGTGAGAACTTGTGAAATGTGGTGTGGGAATGGGAAGATAGTAATTAAAGAATATACACCATGTATTTCCATTTTTTAGAAAAAAGTCTGGCAATGGAACATATTTTTTTTTCTTTTGGAGGCCATTCCTTGGCTAGTGATTATGATGCAGGTCAGATAAAAAGGAATGGTTACATCTGCATGATCAAAACTTATTGGTGCTCACATTCAGAACTAAGAATGCTTTTCTTCAATGAAATAAAGTAATGCTTTGCTCTTTTCAGGTACTAACTGATGATGTAAATTATGTAACTTGACTCTTGGCCAGGTTTTATCATTCTAGTTCTGATTTCTTTCAGTGGTTCATTTTAGCTATACGCATCTGTTTTTTGTTTTGTTTTTTGTTTTTATTTTTTTAAGAGACTAGCCACTGAAATGCATCTTTCATATTTTCTGAAAGCCATTTTTGGTTGTTTTCTGTACATTTATTGTACACAAAGCTTATAATGTTTTCTGTGCCTTTTTTACTTGTTTTAGGAAATGATTATTCAATAAAAAACTTTATTGAATGTTAATAGCAACCTCCTTTTTTTTAAAGAATTCTACTTTTATAAATAAAGCTGCTTTTTTGCTTTACCATTATCCATCCAATTATTTGTGTATGAGAAACAATAGTTAATACAGTAAAATCACAATCATATAGCACTTGCTCTTAAGTTGCACACAATGACTTTGATTTTTATTCCCCTGGAATGATTTGAGATAGGAATTATTTATAAAATAGCATAAGAAAAGTGGCAAATGAGAGGAAGCCATTCTGCCCATCAATTTGTAGTTTGAAAGTAATACATCCAAGAATCTCGTGCTTCTATTCCTTGAAAGATGCCATCTTCAAAATATGTTTCACAGAGCTTGTTTCACATTGTCCGTTGGGTAAAGAAACATCTCCTGTTCTCAGTTTAAAAATGCATTTCCATGTTTGCACTGCTTTCGGTTTATGTTCCATCGTTCATTCTGAAGAAATGGGTTAATTTTGTCTTTGAGGTTGTTGAATATTTGTATGAAGTTCCATCATAAGTGTCTCCTTTCAAGATTGTTAAAAAAAAAGGTTCAGTTCCCATAGCTTGTCAGCGTAGGTCATTTCCCGAAGCCCCAGAATGTCTGGTTGCTCTTCTCTAGACAGATTTCAGAGCAACAATATCTGTTTTCTAATGTGGTGAGCAAAACAGTATATAATATTCTAATTGGGGCCTTACTGGAGCATTATACTATTTTATCATAATTTTGATTTCAATTCTACGCTTTTAGCAATATATGCCAACATATTATTTGCTTGTCTTTGTCTGGAAAATGTAAATGACACATCAACATACAGTATACATCTTCCACATTTTCCTAAGTAGATGCTTATAGTTCATTGTTTCCTATTTTGTGTTTATAATTAATATTTTACTACTCTCATACAAAACACTGCAGTTGTCTAAATGACACATCATCTGCCAAGTGTTTGCTAATTTGGGATAATTTTATTTGACCAGAATCGAGACTTTTTTAAAATAAACTACGAAGACCAGTGTCCCAAGTACAGATCCCTGTGATACTTATATCACCCTAATTTAAACAGTCACCCCTTATCTTTACTCTTTTTCTTTGATTTCTTAACCAATTCCCCAATTAAAACTGTGATAGTTAACTACCACATTGAGACTCTACAATTTAATGTTCAGTTATTGTTAAGTAGCAATCCCATCGAACACTTTCTATACTTATTTTTTGTGAGTTACTTCTTTAATTGTAGCCGTTCATTTTTGTGTGTGTATTTAATCTATTAATACAGTATGTCTCCGAAAGGTTAAATCAAAACTTCAGTCCACCTGCAAATCAAAAATTCTAAACCTGTCATATGATGCTGACTTTTCAATGAGAAGATCCAAGAAACCTTACAAGTGATGCATTTCTAATCTGGGATTGGGCAGTTTGGGATTAAGTGGGATTTACCCCGGCTCTAATTCACACATATTTTCCTACTATTACTTCTCCTGCAATCAACAAAAGGAATCCTAACATGTAGAGTCTACTTTGTTCATAGAGTGAGCAAGCCAAATTATTTGACTCTAAATCAGTAATAGATGCAATTCAGACCTTTGTTTGATTGAGGTAGAGATTTCAAAACCCTTACTTTGATAAAACTGCCAATGTTTTAATTTAGGAAAAGGTCCAGCTAAAGATTCACTTAGGCACGCATTTCTTTCACTTCATGAAACCTCGTAAGATTTGAGAACCATGAAAATTTCAACTTCCATAAAAACCGCAATCCAAAACCCAACAGAATTTATAATAGGCATGGATCATAACTTATAAAAAAAGGTTTTGGTTTCATCCAAGTGGATTTCACCCAGTCTGAACCAGAATTTGAGATAACCTAATTGTTGGGAATACTGCTTTCCATTATTCTTTATCTTCTTTGTTATAGTGAAGGATTGATGCTGGTACTTTATTAATTAAAGAAGGTGATTTAAAAAAATTGGAATCCAAATTCCAAAATATAAGTTACCATATTGTTTTACGATAACATCTTTAAAGTTTGGGATGACTATGGAATATAAGAAATAACACAAAACAGAAGCCAAGGCATACAGGGATATTCAAACTGGTAAGCAATGTTGTGACAATGAAATGACAATCAGGTGTTATCATGGCAGAGCCTTAACTGATTCAGTGGGTTTTTTTTTAAGTTAATTGCATAATTAGCACCATCACCACCTTATCAAAAGAGTGCAGGTGGGAATGTGGCATCATCAACTATGTCAGGCCCCAAACAAATTAACCACCCCAGCGTTTCTCAAAGAATAAGGAGATTTGTGAATTTAATTGCAAAGAAATTGACCTTACAAGAAGTTCTGAAGTTGTTACATAAATAGCATCACATATTGTTCTAATGTAAAATATGTGCATTTTGGTGTTCAAATTATGTGCATTATTGAATAATTTGCTAACAAATATAATTCATTAAATGTCTGGAACACGCGTTTTGTAATTGGATAAACTGACTGCATGTGATGCTTTAGTTTAAGTGTGCAAATGCCTATACCTGTACTTCCCAAATAGAGCTATTTGGTTTGAATTCAGAGGAAATCAAGGCAGCAGAGAGTGTGGATGGGGGTCCTGCAAATCTTGGAGCTAAGACGTTCAATGTCTTACAAGTTAATTTCATCGTCTTTCACCAATCTAAGGTAGGATTGCTCCATGTGTTAGTAAAACAAATGAGGAGTTAAGGAATTTCTCTTGGGTGCACAATTGTTAGAGGTCCCAGGTAAACAGAAATGATAAAATCGAAGGGATTTCCTTAGTGCTGTGTAATAAGCACGTGTGCACAATGTCTATCCAGTCAGACGCCAACAAACCAACTGGTCTCATATTCATTTAATATTACCTGCACAATGTTCTGTCTCTATATAAAAGGTATTTATTTTGTATCTTGTGTTGGCTTTGTCAGAAAACTGCTTATTAGACTTTGGTTTTCACTGCTAGGCCTGGATAAAATCAAAACTTCAGCCAAAAAGCAAATTCAGACATATGTAAACCTAATCAAAACATAGAAATTTCACATTAGAGGTTTCTACTGTAGTTTATACCATGGAAGCATCCCAGGGACTCCTGGTTTGTGTTTCAACTCCAGTTTTGTTGTCTAATTTTGGGCTCAAATAGAAATACTTCTTAGTGGATACAGAATGTTTGTCAGGTTATTTAAAAGACACACTAAAATCATTATTTCATGTTTAATCTGAAAAAAATCAATTGTAAGTGAGGGAGTGATGTGTACCAAATTTCAGAAAGCCTTGCAAGACTACAGAAGAAAAGATTGTTACGTCTTTTATGTCCAATGGACTAGGCTTGAAATGTTACATTTTTTCAAAATGCTGTTTCACCTGGTTATTGAAACACTGGCATTACTATCACCTGGGCTCTAAAAGTTTGGCATGAACACTTAACTGAACTAGACCAGTTTAGTGTTAAAAATAATTTACACTATTTATAGATTCATTTTTAGGTATAATGAAATAATTAAGACAGAGTTAGAAGAAAGTTAAATGAACTTGTCCTGCATTCAACTAGATGAAGAGTCTCTGGAAGAAAAACTTTTTTTACGGCATGGGTAGCACCCTGTCATGTCACCTTAGGAAGAATGGTCGTGTATGCTTTGGATGTGCTGTTGTTAAGTAAGACCTACCATACTGTTTTAAGCTTCTGGAGGCATAGTATGAATTTCATTTTGCAATGATCTGATAAATGATCTGGCAGGTATCATGGATTTTAGACGTATATGTATAGTCTGCTGGAATAGCCAGGACAACCTTGGCAACTTAAACTACACTGACAGCACATTGATCTTCAAGGGACAGCTCAAACTCTTTTCAAGTCATTGCAATTTAATCGATATAATGCCATAGCTACTGTTTTCTTTCTTAATTCTTAATCCTTAATTAATACTTATGTGTTAATGCGTTGCCTTTTTGGTTATGTGAAGCAGGAATAATGCTCTTACTGTATACTTATATTCTGTACACCTATAATAGATGTAAAAGTGTTTAGAAATAGTTATTTTTAATATCCATGCATATACGCTCATGAGTTACTCCTTAATCTAAAAGACATGTGCTATCAATTAATTGTATAATATTCCAAAAAATGTTTCCAAAGGATTAATCTTAAACCTCAGGCTGTGGCTTCAAATTTGGAAAAAAAAAAGGAAAATTTATTATTCTGTTGTTTTTATCCAGCACAGAAAAGCATTTATCAGAGAAATGTGCATGGTTAAATAGTATATTCAATGGGCTGATTTATTGCAAATCTTAAGATCTTATTTTTTTATCAGGAATGTACGGTACAGTTTGTTTTTAAGATGATAACAAAATACTTTCTATCTCATTGATCCCAGAAAACACAATTCTGGTAATTCTTTTCTATTGAAAATATTTACTAAAAAACAGAGATTTTTAATATCAGTATTTTATTAGTGACCTTTTAGCTCATAAGCAGTAACCACAAAATGCATATTCTTGATGAACTGTCAGTAAAGTTGATTTACCATAGGAAATGCATATTCATTTCACATCAAGATTCACCATTTAAAAATTAAAAATCTATTTAACAAATACTGAGTACTTTGGGACCATGAGAATTACATAAATTACAGAGCACTATAGTTACATTTTTCCAACTAAACAATGTTCAGCTTGTTTCATACCGCATAAACATTTTTGAACATTTTTTAGTCATCTGGTAATCTTGCAAAACCCCAGAACATTTCTAGAATCTCCTATAAGTAACTTGCTTACCATTGAATATTAAAGGGGATTGAACACGGAGACAAAAAAAAAACACTCAGCACCACTTCATATAAACAGATCTTCATTTATCTCAAGATTGTAAAGTAAAAGGTTAGCAACCTCAAATATCTTTTAGCAGCTATAAAAGGATACATTAGGCATCACTGGCCAGATGTACTCTGCAGCATCACATTGTTTGATATTGTTGCTATTCCACCAGGAAGAACAAAGTTTATTGTAGA